ATTTTTACAAAATATTGCAATAAGTGAACGCATATGGAGTAAAAAAATTATTACTTAATAATTATTAAATTTAATGCTAATACTTTAAATATAATATTTTATACTCGCATACTTTAACGCCTGTAACCATACGAATAATATCGGTTCGCAATACAATTAAAGACTCCATAATCATTTTTAAATTGTTTTATTTTTATATATCGGAATTCTCTTCGGGTTCATCCTCCTTGGGTGTACAAATTTTTGGATGATAATCATCAAAGAAACATTTAAAGCACAATGTCAATTTACACCAAGCACATTGAATAAAGCTTACGTCTTTACAAGTGCATGGTTTTTTCAAATTTGTTAGAGAGAAGCAGACATCATTTACATTAATTCGGATGGATTTTCCTCTGCACTACTGCTTGGCTCTTGCATTCTTCCAAAATAACTTTCCACTAGTCACTGTACGACACGTTATAAACGGCTGCTCGGCTGACAATGGAGTAAACCAAACGGCCAAATTTAAAGCAAGGGCTACCCGTGTCTCTACTCCCCTCTACCAGATAGAAAATAACGGTTTCCGCAGGTAGCAGATACAACTGCCTCATAATCGAGTTTTCGGCAACAGAAAAACTTCCACAGTAGTACAAAAGCACTGACCGGTCATATAATATAATGTAGAAATAAAATCCCTTGCAGAATTTTTAAATTTAAAAATGATTATGGAGTCTTTAATTGTATTGCGAACCGATATTATTCGTATGGTTACAGGCGTTAAAGTATGCGAGTATAAAATATTATATTTAAAGTATTAGCATTAAATTTAATAATTATTAAGTAATAATTTTTTTACTTCATATGCGTTCACTTATTGCAATATTTTGTAAAAATTAAAAAAAAATTGGTAAAATCACGACTTGAACGTGCAACGGGCAGCGTTCTAAGCCGCCGCCTTATCCTCTGCGCCACGCTGCTATCTGCTAACCTCTTTCGCTAATTCGGTATAGAAAGCGCACGAGAAATTTTTAATGCAAATTTCTCGCGAATGCTTGAGTATTGCGTCGTGCCACTTGTCCATGAATTAGTGGAGAGTTAGTACTAAAACATATTTAAAGTTGAGCGAAATCCGTGAGTGCACGACTTGGCCCTCCCCTTGTCAGCTATGGGCTCGAGCAGATCACTGTGGGTCTGCTCGGGGCTCGTAGCGAGGCGACGAGGCAGGGAGATTCCCAGCCAGCGTTGAGCCCTCAATAAAGTGGGCATGGCGATAGTGGGATTTACCCAGATTAACTTGCACCACAGCAGGGGCGCCTCGGCTGTTTTGACCAGGAGCATGGTTGTGGTGCATACAAGTATTTGCCTAATGCAGGAACCCTGGGTATACAGGGGCTGCATTAGGGGCATTGCGGCCTGTGGCAGACTTTTCAAGTCCCCCACAGATCCCAATCCCAGAGCCCCGATTGCGATTAAGGGACTAGAAGCGCAACTCATGCCGGAATTCTGTTCTAGGGATGTTGTGGCAGTTACGGTGAATTTCCTCAGATTCACCACGGGCGAGACCAGGAAGATGGTGGTGAGCTCAGCGTACTTTCCACATGAAGAGGAGGGCTCGCTTCTAGTGATGGGCGGTATTTTCATATCTGTTATTTTGTAACTGTTATCGAAAACTAACCGTTGTAACTGGTTATCAAATTTTTCCAATGCCAGTTATTTTATAACTTTGCACATACTGACAGTGGATATCGGAACGCAGCCACTTTATTCGTTATTTCGGAATGTCTTAAAAAATTTTTCTGAATATTCCAAAAATTCCCTATCCGATAGCCAATCGGTACATTCAACTTACGACAGATAAAGTATTCCCTAAAAAGAGTAAATTACATTTGTCGTACGACAAATTTTTCAAATGTGTTGATTGGCTGCAGAATAGAAAATTTCTATAGACTCGAGAACTTTTCTATCCTGCAGGACTGTGTTCCGAT